CACCAGCTGCCCTCAGCCCTATTCCACACAATGAAAGTTGGGGGTTAATCCCCCGAGTAAACAACAAACAGCGTCTTCAGTGGCATAAGTTGAAGACACGGTAATCAAATGGATGAGCAGATATAAAAAAAAAGATGTAATGGATAAGAAAATCCAAAACCTGACAAACCTCATTGACAGCTTCCTGCAAGACAGATCGCTCCACAAATTACTACGGGTGATCCTTGATCAACACCTCTCTTGGAGCAAACATATAGAATATGTGAAAACAGACCTGAACGTATTGTGGGCAGTTTCAGGCACATCTTGGGGCACAGCGGGGAACACTCAGCTGGACCTCTACAAATCACTTATCAGATAAACAAATGGACTGTGGTTGTTAGGCCTTTCTCTCAGCAGCCTTGAGCCACCTGGACAGAATACAGCACAAAGCCCTCATGCTGGCCACCGGTGCAGCAACAGGCACTTCATAAGAAGCACTGCATGTAGAAACAGGAGAACTTACATTAAAGGTGAAGTGAGATGGGGTATAACGTCGGGTCCAAGATTATTGCACTTATATATGCACACGTGTATGTGCGTGCGTGCGTGCGTGTGTCGCTGCTTGTACTCGTCCGGACTGATGCTTTATGGTGTATTTAACATGGATACCCAACTCAGACCTTCCGCTCTCCGGAGGGACGCTCTCCAACAAGACCACGGAGACGGAACCCATTCAAACTAAGACGAGAGCAAGCATTATTATCATTCTGGTGACGAACATCAGACCCTTTGCTGGAAACAGATATGGAAAGATAAAAACACCCGATATGAAGCTCGGCAAAATCCCTCACTAAAGCATTCTGGGATATTAGAACGTGAACTCATCCGAAGTCACAGTTGTGATGACATTCAGCCATCAGAAAGTCACTACAAAGGGTTACACCCTCCCTGGACTTTAAAAACTCCCGAAGTTGACACTGCTTTAACGTCAGATGTCACTAAAAAAGAAAACCCAACCCTACTACGATCAGTAGCTATCACTAATATTCAAACTACCCAGGACAGCTGGGCCCATATATACACTGATGGATCCAAGAATCCTATCAACAACAGTGCTGGTTACGGGATCCATATCCACAGCTCCAAACCCCAAGCACATTCGGTTCGCCTGCCTGATGGTCAGTCAGTATTCACTGCTGAATTGGAGGACATCACTATGCACTGATACCGGAACTACCGGAAGCAAAGGCAGTCATCCAATCAGACCCGCGAAGTGCACTTCAAGCCATCAGCGAAAGAAACTCAAACTCGAGACCAAGCAGTCAATAATATTCTACACGAATATATACTCAACAACAAAAGTTCCTGTGACACCAATATTTTAGTGTATTTTTCAAACAAATAAAGTTTGGTTTTCAATATTGTAGTACATGTATGGAATCAAGTCACAAAAAACGCAACTGCTACAGAAAAGCATGCATTCCATGCAAAAGTTGACTTTTATGCAAGCCCTATGCATTTCATTACCATTCCATATGCATTGTTTAGCATCGTGCTGACAACAACCACTCAGAAAAACAACAAAATTACGCAATTATTCAACATTACGAAATTCCACGCCTGTCCGAAAATGAGCGTCTGCGAGCCATTGGTATGCTTGAAGCAGGATCGAGTCAAAGTGATGTTGCAAGACAATTTAACGTCCACAGAAACACAATCTGGTGTTTATGGCAACGTTGGCAACAGACGAATGCAGTCAGAGACCATCCTCGGAGTGACAGGCCACGCATAACCAAAAATCGACAAGACAACTGGATTCGAACAACACACCTACGAAATCGATTCCAGTCAGCAACAGTGACTGCAAGAAGCATCCCTGGCCTTCGACGAATATCTTCACAAACCGTACGTCGTCGCCTCAGATGTGCAGGGATTGTCGCCAGAAGACCCGCCAGACGTCCCATTTTGACAGGAAACCACCGTCAAGCACGGCTACAGTGGTGCAGACAGCGTCTACGCTTGACGGCCATGCAGTGGGGACACGTTCTATTCACTGACGAGTTTCGTTTTCACCTCAGCCACAGCGATGGACGGATTCGAGTGTACCGACGTCGAGGTGAACGTTACGTCAATCATTGTGTCATGGAAGAAGATCGGTTCGGGGGCGGCAGCGTTATGGTATGGGGTGGGATTAGAGCAAGACAGAGGACCCGTTTGATAGTGATAGATGGAAATCTCAATGGACAGCGCTACCGCGACCAGATCATCGGCCCTGTTGTTCTACCGTTTTTGCGTCGTCATGGCCCAAGCATTACTTTTCAACATGACAACGCCCGGCCTTATATTGCTCGCCTTGTTCAGGATTCTCTTCAACAAAACAACGTTTAATGTCATCCCCTGGCCGGCTCGCTCCCCTGATCTCTTACCAATCGCGCACATGTGGGTTGAGATGTATCAGCGCCTTCGACGTCAACCTCGTGTTCCAGACACTCCAGGAACGTCGAAACATGTTCCAGCAGATATGGACAGATATCCCAGAGGACTTTGTGCTACGCCTGGTCCACTCCATGAGACGAAGATGTGTTGCTTGCATCGCAACCAGAGGTGGACACGCACGCTATTGATTTATAAATTGACATTTTGGCATGTTCATGCTTTCTTTTATGAAATCACGCATTTTCTGAAGTCAGTATGGCAAATTAAACCATTTGAACACTTACAGGAGTCGGTTATCTGTTTCAAACCGAGACTGTTTCAGATTTGGTAAAAACATAATATTCAATGTCACAGGAACTGTTGTTGTTCAGTATACAGACCTATCGGACCAAAGGCAACAGATGAAGCTGTGTTGGATCCTGTCTCACATAGATATTCATGGAAATGAAAAAGCAGACACACTGCGAAGCTAGACAAAGCGGAGATACAGCCATTTCCCTTCAGTAAACTTGAGATAAAAAGCAAAATCTAAGCCTCCATAGCCCAAAGATGGCAAGCCCAGTGGGACGCAATTAAGATTGGCAGATGGCTGTACAAAATTCAACACAAGATCCACCAAAAGCCATACTCATACTCAAATGACAGGAACGTTAATAATAATCATAATAATAAGTGCATTTATAATGCGCCAGATTCCATTCACCGAGTGGATGCTCATAGCGCTACACTGTTATTACCCCGGTCAATGGATCAGTGAGCACTCGATTTTCATTCTCAGCTCCCTGGCGAGTATACAACCCAAGCTGCCTGTGAGGCGCTAGAAGGTTAACAGCTACATTACCATCTCATCCTACCATTGAAGTTGAAGTAGCCATCTCACGCCTCAGACACACAAAAAGCACAATCAACCTGAATCAATTGCTTATGTTACTGGAATGTCAAGACCATGCCCCAACCCAGGCTCGGTTAAAACAAGAATTGCAGCTGGGTCCGCTATCTGTCGTAGATCTCCTAAAGCCAAGAAATGCAATAGCGAAGGCCAAACTAACTCTATAGCAGAGGGATGGACAGCTACTCGAACGTACATAATCAGAGCAGTCAAAGATAAAAATACGAAATCATATCATTATTCGAAAATAGAAATCTTATCCATACAAAAATATTTTAAGACTACTCACAAAATATATGTGTACCCTACTCGAACACAGTCCCAAAGAGGGACAGGTCAGCCGAAATTGCTAAGGCAGAAGACTAACACTTAAACATTTAAAGCAACAACAACAAACTAGAAAATCCGAGGCAGAAGCAGGCAGACTGGGCGTCGCCCCGATTGTCATGAGAATACAAACCAAGCTGCCTTATCGGGAGCTAGAAGATTACCATCTTATTCTACCGGGTACCCATTCACTGCTGGAATGTTTAATGGATGGCCGATAGTGCATGGCAGTACTTTCCACAGGCTATGGAAAGTATCTTCCTTTTCAAATGCTTTTCCCATTAAAGCGAGAGATAGAATGTGGTTACGGAAACATGCGAGTGGTGACGAATGCAGCCCGTAACAGTCCTCCGGAACATTCCGTGTTAACCTTTTCGAGTGAGTGAGTGAGTGAGTGAGTATGGTTTTACGCCGCTTTTAGCAATATTCCAGCAATATCACGGCGGGGGACACCAGAAATTGGCTTCACACATTGTACCCATGTCGGGAATCGAACCCGGGTCTTCGGCGTGACGAGCGAACGCATTAACCACTTGGCTACCCGACCGCCCCCCAGATTTTTGAGAAACGGAAGCGTGAACTACAATCTGACTTTAAAGAAATTGCAATGCACAGGGCAACGTGCCATCACGTAGCCATAGAAACAGGCCATATAGGTTTACAACTTACCCGTATCCATCGAGCGAGGATATGTTTACTGCCCAAGGATCATAATCGGGGCAAACATGGGATTTTAACCGGTGATCAGCCGATACTGACACGGCTAAGGGACGCAACTCAACGAATTGAGACGCCTCAGATATTAATAAGAGATGTGAGTTTTGACACTCTTCACCGATTGTTGTGGAAAGAGTTCAGGTGTAGTAACTCAGGGAGATCAGATCATTATCTTGTCGCCTTGGACGACTGGGCCACCCGTGCTCCCCCCCACACACACACAGATGACAGTCTCGCCTTGTTAGCTTGCTGAGAGTGTTAACATACTTGGTTATGTGGACAAGGCTTTGGTGTATCCGAAGTTCGAATCCCATCACGGGGAATTTTTTTGCCTACAATGACTGCTTCTTCAAGTCATGTTACACCAAACGTATTCAGTCAGGCTGGTCAAATTGTCTTGTCTATTGCAGATCTCATAGTCCAGTCACAATTGACAGTTTTAATTAATAATAGGGTTTGAAACAAACCTGTCTTCAAAACTCGAACATTTTAATTTACATGCCAATTCTAAATACTTATAAATTCATTAACAAATGCAATCAGAATACATTGGAAGTATTTTTTTTATTAAATCGTCCCAACTACTTGTGAAACACTTTTCTGAGACTAATTTTATAATGTGCATCATAAAAAGAATGAGACGAAGTCATTTTGGAAAAAAAGATACTTTATTTTGAAGAAAAGATAGGCATGCTTTGTTTCATAAATATACAACTTGAGTCCAATCTCAGAAACATCAACATAAATTAATGTCTATAATATGTTCTCTTAAAGTCTACGATAAACAAGGTTTCCAAATCATTTTCAAAATCCAAGATGGTAGCCTCGTTTTAACCTGCCAACTTAATAACAGTGTTCGAAATACCTGCCTGCCCGACCGTCCGAGACAAGTTGATTTCAACTCGGGCTGCAAGATTTTCAAATCCCCCTGCCCGACGGTCGGGTTATATTTCATATGTGACAATATTCTAAATATTTCCAGATGATAATCATTAATTCACATGTAGAGATGAATGATAAAATGTAACCAAAAAGAAACCCCGTTAGCTTATCCTGAGAAACATATGATTATAGTGGGCAGGCAGGTTTTGGTCAGGGCTGTCAAGTATTTCAGCTAGCCAGTCCTGTGGTCTGGCTGAATTTTTTGGGAGTTTCATACCCTGTTAATAATTAACATTGAACCTTGCCATATGAATAGTACCAATGCGTTTATCCTATCATCAACATAATGTGTACTTAAGTACTGAAAATGAGAAGAAATAGTGCCAACTTGAACAATTAACAAAATCTGTAAGTTGAATACAGACCAGATTAAGCATTAACTCCAATTCCAACAACTCATAACTATCACAGAGATTTAGCTAGGATTTCAAAATAAGAACCTTTGGCAGCCCAACTGGGGAAGGTGTTATTTTGTTCAAATATTTGATTTCTTAAAAAGTTCCTCTTTTTATTAAATTAATTGTTTAACAGTGTATATTACCATTACATTCAATAAAGTAACACAAAGCATCAAAGCCTCTTCCTCTACTGGTCCTCATGTCAGTGACATACAATCAACCCGACTTCGGCATCACATTACATTAAACTATATGAACGGGATTATTACAGACATTGGCTGCAGAGATGGCACTTAACACCAGCCTCTGAGGAGGTCTGGAAAATCCCTGTATCATAAAAGATGATCAGAAGGAACCAGCCTGCACAATGCTATCATATCAGCAATGTCTCCTAGGAGATATGGCTGCAGTGAAATTGCATCACAATGCTTGCAAACCATTGTGACATCCTTGGTCACAATCAAATGACATCACTAATCTCTCTGCCACTGAAGCCGGTTAGCTGTATGTCTCACACTCAAGTTATTGAGTTATTACTGGTTATAACTATTCCCAAACTAAAAAAGGTGGAAGAATGATTTTAGATGATAACTTGAATCTCATCCTCGTATCGTTTGAGATCAAACATATCAACACTCCTCCACAATTTGATATTAAAAGACACTTGCGTGAGACTGTTTCATCCTCAAAACTCATGCAACCTGTCAAATTCGAAATACCAAAATCTGGATTCAAAGTTACATTTGTTAATCTTTTCTCCTTAATTAGCCATAAGACAAAAGAAATCCTACCACCATGTCTGTGATAAGTCTCCTCAAAAACGTATGGAACAATAATCATAAAAAAACTTGTTTTGTCAATACTTTTATTGGTTGTAGTTTAGTAGTAATAAGAAACCAACAAATGAGAGGCAACTAATTTCCTGACACATCAGTACAGTAACAACGGATCAGGGCACAGAAGAACCAGGAATATGTAGACACCAAACTGTTTACTTGTCAACATTGTATTGACACATGACTTCTGTGTACTTGTATCTTATCAAAATTACGCAGCAAAGTTTGTGCGAACATTCAGCGTTCAATTTACAGGAAATTTTAGAATAACATCCACCACTGAAATATATATTTTTGAACAATTATATAATAAACGTTTTCTTCTTCTTTTTAAATGTTGCTTTATTCATTAACTACACAAGTTTTCTTCAGATCATGTTAAAACAATAGAAGCTAATAGCAACAGACTAGAAGTTAAACTATGCAGCACTAAAGGGAGGAAAGCATGTACATAACACTTGCTGTACACACTTGTATGTTACAGAGAAGCTGGGGTAACCGTATCTCTATGTTGCTCCCTATAAACACCACATAGATACGGCTACCGCAGCTAATTACAAAGATGCTCACGTCACACAAAGGCAGTAATGTACAGGGATGTGTTTATAACCATATTATAATTCACCTTTCAAACAGATAATCACATCAAATGTGGCTTCTAGACATTATCCAAGGGAGGTAACCCACAGCCGCCGGATATGGACAGAGACAGGGACCGATCAAGTTTTTCTCAGCTACACAACTGGTACCATACAACTACCCACTAATGGCAATCTGACTAAAGCTATTTCATTCATTTCTAAACATAGCAAGGGTAACTGGTTCATACATACTTCCACATGGAGATCTAGGTAGTCATCTTGGAGTTAGTGAGCGAATGAGGCTTCACTACAGCAATTATTGAACCAGTCATTGTGGAAAGAATACCAGAATATCATTATTAAGTTATAACCACAAATACAAACACTTAACGGCCATCAATGTAAGTTAAGAGAGGACTTACACAAATATTCAGATAATTTGGGGGGTTAGGATGGGAAAAAGACCAAATTTTATATTCTTTGTTTGTGCTTACGATTTTTCTGAGACACAGGATCTGCCATGAATCCGACTCCAGCATGCAGTGTTCAAATCTAAGCATCAATCCCTAGAGGCATCATCCTTTTAATGATGCTACTGTTAAGAGTTAAATGTTTGGAGGGTCCCAAGAATCATATACAACAGCTGCAAATCTCAAAAGGCCCCCAAACCCCTTAATTTCTAACACTGCCTGGATCCAAGTCTCACAGTTATATGTACAAGGTTTGAGTGTGCGTGTATTTGTTGTTTAACACCACACTAAGCAATATTCAAGCTATATGATGGACATAAATAATGAAGTCAGGACCAGGCAATCCAGTGAATAATATTGGAGCAACAATCCACACCACTGGAGTACGAAGACACGTCATCCGCCAAGTCACTAGGTCTGACCACCTGATCCGAAGTCGCCTCGTATGAACAGCATAGGTTGCTGGGGATGAATTCTAACCCAGGATCCCCCCGTGGTACAAGGTTTGTCTAAAGCCACAGGACATTCTGGAAGTCTTAGCCACATTTGATATGACCACCAGGAAAGTAAAAGCACTGGCTATTTCTCTGTATGGACATCACGACAGCCAGACACACATACATACGATTGTTACCATAAAAATACCCTTACGTAGCACATCTTCACTTATACATTTTTACACATTTGAAAACTTCCACCACAATGTTTAAGAAAATAAATACACCAACAAACAGTACACTAAACTAAATCAGTATTATAATGAAATTCCTTGAGTTTATTGGCTCAAAACAAAATAAATAACATCCATTTCAATTACAACTTTCACCATCTATTCATATTTAACAAAGGAAATAAACCAATTTAACACAGTCGTTCATGATGCTTATACAAATTTGATTTCCCACAATACTGGTGTCTATAAATGTTGGAACGTAATCATTACACTAAAACCCCATATTTTCTTTGAAACATTAAGGAAGTCTCCGGTCATAACCAATCTGTCGACGATGGTGGTGTACAGGCGGTGCATGACGATGATCTCAGTTGGATTAAGGGTTGGAATAATGATGTGAGGGGTGATGATGGTGATGATGAATGTATACAATGAGAATGAGATCCATCCTAGGCTCCGGTCTCTTACACCACGCGTCGCACTTCAAAGAATCTCTTAAGGTAGTAGACTTGTCCTAGTGTCATCGCAACCAGCACCAGGGCCTCGAAGAATGACCATAGCACCACACGTGAGTTAGTGTTGTCGTTGACTGAAAGATGAAGAAGCAAATCAGCATAGGTTTCTGTTACCATGGTTACAGTTTCATCGTTAAGTTTAAAATGTTGGTTGGTTTGCTGTTTGACACCGCACTCAGCAATGTTACAGCTATGACGGCAGTCTTTAAGTTATCGAGTCTAGACCAAACAATCCAGTGATTGACATCACGAGCATCGATCCACGCAATTGGGATGACATGCATCAAGCAAGTCAGAGAGTCTGACCACCCGATCCTCTTAGTCGCCTCTTACGACAAGCATAGTCTCCTTTTACAGCAAGCGTGGGTTGCTGAAGACCTATTCTACCCCGGATCTTCTCGGGTTTGTTATAAAGGGACACTTTTAGGGGTGCTTAGATCATGTGGAAGAACTAGATGAAAAAATATATGCTAAAGTCTAGAAAAATTCTGTTCGTTCTCGTAAGCCCACCTAACACAGGTCCATGAACACAAACATGTAATAGAGATGACACAAAGAGTTCAACAAGTCCAATAGTCGAAAAGAGGACATCTTAATATATAAGAGAGAACTTATGAATGTCAACTTTATGAAGTTATGTTTCATTGTGAACATGGTGAAGAGCTTGACATTTTGGAATAAATGCTTACCCCTTCACCTGATGAAGAAGTAAACATTCACTCTGAAACGTTGTGTTCCTCATCATAAAGAAAAATTATCTCTTATGTGTATCACTTCTAAATGCCATTCAAAGACTTGATCATAAAATAGTGTTATTGAAATGATAAGATATGACATGTATGAGGGACCTCTACATTATATTTTTCCAACTGAAATCTAATAAGCAAAGTCAACTTTTGAGCTTTGGTTACAAAGATTAAGATTAAGTGAAATGCAGAAGAATGAGAAACAGCTCTGTTTTTAATCTATTCTGAAATAGTTTGAAAAAGTATATTCATTTTTTGTGTAATATTTGGCAAAATTGTTTTGTGTATTTAGACATGAGACAATCCAACACAACATCTGTGGTGCTGATGGTGGGCTGAGACATTGCTGCTATACTCACTAGCTCTATGGATTCTCTCTCGGACTTCCATGTATTCTTGTTCGTGTTTCACGCCAGTCAGGGCGGTGGACAGCTCATTAATCATCTCCGCCAACTTGTTGTGGTGAGCTGAAACAAGGAACATCAAGACCCTTGAGATCAAGAACATCTGTCACCAATACATCATCTTTTGAATGATAAGAGGTGACCAAAAAGTGAATATTGAGTAGGAATGTATACATGGTATACCCTGTGTTTCATTCAAATCACTGGTCACAATGCAATAGATCGTACCTCCATGTCAGAATTATGAGATCTGATTGGTTGATGTGATCTTGATAAAATACTATTGGAGAAAATACATTTCTCCGCGGGATAATAAATCCTTTATACCCCTGCCACGAACAGGACAACCTGCACGTGGATTTCTGAGAATCAGACTAAATCTCTTATACCCCGCTTTCACGCAAACATGGCAAAAATCTGTACGCTTTTTCCAAGTCAATGAAAGTCACGTGACATAGCAGAAGTTAACCTGGAACAGCTGATTTCTTATGAATTTTGAATTTGTTTTAATTCTTTTACAATGTCATATTAAAACATGTTGGTGAGGTAAATTCGTTGAAGCAGGATTGTGGTATAAAACCTAACACCGGACTCATAAAACCCAATGTATCCCTCGTGATCCTGCTACAACTTATGATAGCCTGAAATATCTCTTCAACCTGATTATGCTACACTGACAAAACAGTGGGTTGTAAGTTGAGGTGGATCATGGATGGGGTTTAGCATCGTGTTCAAGATTTATTTTACCTTACAGAAAAATTCTGATTGGCTGAGACCCATTCTATTACTTTCAATGTACCTCGCTAACAAGCAAGATACATTTAGGATGTCCCCTGTTGAATTACAGAACTGTTGGCAGTCCACTGGTCCTTATAATGATAACATATAGCAAACTCCTTAAAAATGGCAAATTTCTACTAGTCCGTATGATACCATTACTATTTGGCAGTTTGGCAGAGACGATAGGACTTGTGCCAATTTCTGACACTGTGTTGGCATTACATTTGCAACATACCAAGCACAATTTCTCATCGAATTATTGATGTAAGACGCCCTTTTCTAAATGCTGCATATTATTCGGGTTAGTGGAACTCAATTAACATAGAGGATACATCAACTCATGTCACTTGACCCGACCAGTCAGTTTTGACATGTTTTCCAATGACATTGCACAATCATTATCGCGTGCCTATTCAGTTCACATGTACAGGGACATAGAAATGTATTTAATATCAACTGTGTCACAGGGCACATAAAAAAGATGTTTAGATGTGTCCCTTGGAAATTTAATTGTGACAAATTTTGATCCATTGTTCAAACAGACTTTCATCACTTAATGCTCCCTATAATTTTTCTGAGCCATGTATTTACCATGTTTACAAATTATCATCCACATTGGGTTGCTTATAATATCAATCACTGGTTTGTCTAGTCCAGATTTCATCATTTACCATGCATTCCATTTATCATTTTGATTACAGACCATCGTGACATGGCTGGAATATTGCATGGTGCTGCATTAACATGATTAAGTTTGTTTGCTGTGTAAACACACAGCAAAAATCGAATCAAGTGATTGATATAATAAGCAATGACCAATGCTGTCTGAAAATGTCATGGAGTCATTTCTAATCAACCATTGAACTGGGTTATAGCTAAAACGGCACCTCGTCTAAAGCGAAAACGGCTACTACTGCCTGTCGAAAACGGCACCTTTATTTTTTTTTTAACCTTGGTACTGAAATACACCCCAACACTGATTGCAAGGTGCAACTAAACTTATTGTGAAAACAATACATGCTTTGAAGTAAAATAAATGAAATAATAAACTTACATGGTCACTTGCAAACAAGTAATTGTGAAATGTAAATCACCTTTAACATGTTTAAACATTGTTAAACAAGTTTACATTAGAATGATTAGAAATTAGCCTCTTTTCTAATTGATTGGGAGGCGCAACTAAACTTATTGTGAAAACATCACATGCTTTGAATACTTTACTCAAATTAACTCAATGACAAGCTGAAACTGAGTTTGGCAGAAATGTCAAAAAATTGGACCCAAGTATACTGTATATTTAATATTTATTTTAGCATGTTTAGTAAGTAGGAAATAAATAGTAACTTTACAGATATTTCATATATATCTCCCCTTTCTGCCAACAGCCGACATCCCAAGAATGTTTCAGCGGATAACAGACAATGTCCCCGCCCAAGGAAAATATATATGCTACAAGATAAGATAATAAAGCATGTAAATAAAGCATATATACTACTACATAAATCACTCTTCTCGTTATCAAAAATTGAGGTGCCGTTTTCACCCGACAATTAGTAGCTGCTTTTGCCAAATGAGGTGCTGTTTTTGTCCCAGAAATTGGTAACGTTTCACTGAGGTGCCATTTTAGCCTGCACACCATGGAACCAAATCATTGAGCTTGACCACCCTAACCACCTTTCATCCAACCAATCAGAGCGTCGCTTACCAGATCATGAAAGTGACAGTCGGAATGTGTTTTCTAATCATGCAACCACGATATATTTAACACGGGGTATTCCGAAAGTCAGTTACAGGTTTTATGATTATATCCATACAATCTAGGCCATCTATGAGCCATTCCAGAATGTTCTTCTTATCAGTTTTAATTTTTTTAACCAAGAATACGTCAAAATATGTTTCGAAGCGTAGTCGCCAGTTGGAAACTAGTGTCGCAAAGCTCGAGAAAGCTGCCTTCTGATTGGCCAATGTTGATTTAATGTCAGTCATTTCATTGATCGGTCAAAATTCGTGTAAGGTCGTTCTGACGTGACCCGTTAAGGGATGTCCTCAGATCTTTGTTTAGCGGCAGCGAGAACTAAGATCTGATTTTAATGAGATTGAACAGAGCATCACCTGATTACGGCCATTACACAAGTTCATAGAAAGAATGATCCCCTTAACCATGTTAACATAAATATAGGATAACATAGGTAAGGGGAGTTTTTGCACCTACCATCTGTTTCCATATTGTCTTGATCTTTAGGTTTCTCTCCAATATCCATAGTGAACATTACAATCTTGGGTGTCATGGTGGACATCTTGTTGCTGAAGCAGTATTTATAGACACCATCCATGTGTGCAGCAAAAGTGTATTTGCCGTTTGACTCACGGTCTCCCGAGTGGATTACTTTTCCCTCCGGACCATAAATCTGCAAACATCAATGATCACCATAATAAGTAGTGCGCCTATTACAGTAGGATTTCAGGGTTTGTTTCAATGTCTTTAACACCTCACTCAGCAATATTCCAGCTATGTGGCGATGTCCTGTAAATAATATAACCTGGACCAGATAATCCAGTGATTGATATCATGGGCATCGATCTACTCAATTGGGATACCATGACATACATCAACCAAGTCAGTGAATCTGACCACCTGATCCCATTGGTCGCCTCTTCTGACCTGCATGGATGGCTGAAGATTAATCCTAACCGTGATCTTCACAGGATTTTATTAGGATATTATGTAACCCAGTATACATGTTCTATAATTCTTTCATTCAGAACAAATACAACCACCAATTGTCATATTATACGTAACCTAATAAATGCAATAGTGAACATACTGAGCATTGCCAATGCCCTTGTGCTTTCCAACACATCAAATTTAGTATTGCACCTTGACCTGATTATCGACAAAAATAAACCAGTGAATTATCACACATATTTTGCCCAAATGCTATCAGGGCTATTGTCTGATCAGTTCTTGTAAAGATTATGTAATTGAAACAATATATGATATGAAGTGCACAAAATCTAACATAACCCTATGAAGTAAATTGTGTATGATATAACAATCCCATTATTTTCTAATATTTTCTCAGATAAAAAGGATAAATAAGGTCTCATTTGTAATGCACAAGGAAGATTTAATGTGTCCAGCTGTTAGTGGAAGAACTTGTCATGCTTTAAAATACTTATTCTAATGCTTTATCACAATCTGAACTGTTCCAGTTTGCTTTTGCAGGACTTAGCCTAACAGTAACCGTGAATGGAGCTGGACTTTTTACAGGCAATTTTACACATTGCTTCGAAAACTAGCCTTATGACAGCGTTTACTGCGAAAACTAGACCGAAGTGTTATGACAGCATCAAAATATTTTCAATCATAGAATAAACGTTAAAGGTTTTGGTTCCAAGATATACAAAGCGAGACAAACAACGGCAGTATATACACTCGAACGCTGCAATATGCCGATCGTTGTCAAGTAATACGTGGTCACCTTGACGTCGATGTCCAGGAAGCCACCTTCTGCCACTTCGAACATAAGGCTCATCTTCGTTCCTGACGTGACTTTATCGAAGAAGCATTCTTCAGCGTGGGCATCTATGTGAATGAAATATCCCTGAATTTGTGTAAAAGAAAGTAGGCAAAGCACCAGTAACGATAACATTTCAACGGGATCCATGATGACTGAAAAATCAACACTGTTTTGCCGGTTTGATAGTCAGCGTGCAGCTGCTTGCCACGTAACTCTAATCTGCGCATGCGTCGAGGGAAGGACCGCACGTAATAACAAGTGCTCGTTTCCGGATCTTATAAATAAAATTAATTATTTGTTGTATTGTGTATGTTTTACATGCAATGAGATAGGTAACTATAAGCAAAGCATTATTTGAGCTCGTTATAGTTTTCTATCTTCATTAACAAATGGGGGAAGTGGAGTCCGATACTGAAAATGTTTATTATTGACATGAATACTGTATTCCTACTAACTGCTCTTATTCGAAATCATAAAACGTGAACGCAGAAGAGAAACACATTTTTGGTTGTCAAAATAAAATTAAAAAAATTATCAATTCGCGTTAAAAGGATATGGGTATACTTTCTGTCCGCCAACGAATTTTTTAAGCAGCCTCTACATTCGCTTTCGCGATGGAAATTAATTATTATTCTTTTAAATTGAGCCTTGAGTATTTTACTCACAACGTCATCATTCACATTGGGTAATGGTAGTATTCTTTGGGTATTCACTATATTTTACCCGCTTGGGTCTAGTCTATTGGGTATTTTACAAACACGAGTAGACATTTTTTTTAAACAATTCTGCTTGAAATGCTTTTTCGTGTGACTTATAATTTGTAGCTGTTCGCGTGTCTCCAAAGTGTCGATATGTACCTAATGAAACATAAGCGACGGGTGGCGACTTTTTATGCATTACAAACTGCAGCAGAGTTCATGTATATGTGACGCCTGCATTCGAGCAGTAATAAAGATATGTAAAGAAATACAGACACGCAAGGTGGAAAGAATACTTTGGGTGTTACGCATGGGTATTGAGTTCTTCTATTTGTTCCTGTATCTAAATAAACGTAGGCAATCAGAATTATTTAGGTAATGGTGATAGAACTTTGTGCTATTCTGTAGATAGTTTGATTAATAAATAGGGTTGTATGCTATGTTGTACACAACTCAAAAGAAGTTAAGGGGGCGGTCGGGTAGCCTAGTGGTTAAAGCGTTCGCCCGTCACGCTGAAGACCCGGGTTCGATTCCCGACATGGGTACAATGTGAGAAGCCCATTTCTGGTGTCCCCCGCCGTGATAATGCTGTAATATTGCTAAAAGCGGCGTAAAACCATACTCACTCACTCACTCAAAAGAGGTTAAAGACTGCCCGATTTGTTCATATGGCTATAGTTATTATGTCATGGCCAGATTCCTTAGTCACATGAACAACCTGTGTGTACTTGAACTTCTTTTGTGTAGTATATTTGTTTAGCAGTAACTGGATATTCTAATCACACAGTGACTCTATTTCAGTTTCACACAGTGACTCTATCTCAGTTTAACGCAGGGAAATAATAAAAAATATACCGTGACTGATAACGGACAGTATCCAGTGGAGCCGATTATCTCCTTGTGAAAAAAACAAGAACACACTCGTGTTATATTTATTCTGCTGGGTATATTTACAGTGTGTGTGGATGACTTGGTATGTTCCGACAATGCCGTTGGTGTACCAATCATACTGTTATCAAACCCCACGATTTCCCTCAAACATAATCTGCCCGTTAAAAAATAGTTGCTTTACACTTGCAAATTCAGCATTTGCTGGAAGCGCTCGTTAAATATCCAGTAGTAAGTGAGAGGTGAGGGGAACTGGGATTTAATATCGCGTTCAAAATTATTTCACTTTTATAGCGTCGTGCATGCTTGTACCAGTCTGGACTTATGTCGGTTTTATAGTGCTAGCCCACTGAGATACCATGCCGCAGTTTAACGTGAATACCCCTCTCAGAGACAGAATACTGACTTCGAGCTGACCAGTCCTTGTTTTTCCCCTCAATGTAGAGCGCCATGCGGGTAACAACGAGTTCTATCTTTTATTGTATTTTGGTATGACGTGGCCGGGGATAGAACCAGCGACTTTCCGCTCCCCGGGCAGACGCTCCATCCACTACGCCACGGAGGCGGTCTCAGTAGTATGTTGGACACGTATACTCATTTGATACATCACGGAAGTTTCGGTGTATATTTACAGTGTCTATGTCACATTCATGACACATACAGTTAACTGACCCAACGAGGACGTGGTAAGAGTAGACCCCCAGCACGGAAATAGTACATCGGACGCCTTCCTTCGAAGAATTATCATCAGCAACCCAAGCTACTAACGGGATCGGGTAAATTCACGAAGAGTATTAAAGAAGAAGAAGAAGAAGAAGAAGAAAGAAAGAAAAAAAGACAACAGTGATAAGGAGAAAGGTAGACATAGATGACATGATTCCAATGTAGTTTGTGATTTGTAACTTGTGTATATGTGCTTGAAATCACATGACTGACTGACTGACTGAGTATGGTTTTACACCGCTTTTAGCAATATTCCAGCAATATCACGGCGGGGGACACCAGAAATGGGCTTCACACATTGTACCCATGTCGGGAATCGAACCCGGGTCTTCGGCGTGACGAGCGAACGCTTTAACCACTAGGCTACCCGACCGCCCCTGAAATCACATGACATTAAATTTGAAAATGTATCAGTGGTCGGATATTTACGGCAGTAATTGGGTAGCAGCTGATTCCTGACATGTTTGTTGTTTAACGCCCGCACTCAGCAATGTTCCAGCTATATGACCGTGTTCTATAAATAATCGAGTCTGGACCAGACAATCCAGTGACTGACATCATGAGCATCGTTCCACGCAATTGGGATACGATGACATGCATCATCCAAGTCAACAAGCCTGACCTCCCGATCCCGTTAGTCGCCCCTTAAGACACAGTCGCCTTTTATGGCAAGCATGGGTTGCTGAAGACCTATTCTACCTCGGATCTTCAAGGGTCTCCTAACATGTGACTAATTGGGACATTCCAACAAAATATGCATTTTAGCACCGATTGCATTTCTACAAATGTACATTTTATCTCTTCTTTAAAAACAGATTGCCTCCGTGGTCTAGGATAGAGCGTCTGCCCGGAGACCGGAAGGTCGTGGGTTCGATAGTCCGCCGCGTCATACCAAAAGATATATTATTTATGGTACTTGTTGTTACCCTGCCTGACACTCGGCATTCGGGGACTGGACAAGGCGAAGTCAGTATACTATGTCTGAGAGAGGTATTCATGTTAAACTGCGGCATGGTATCTCCGTGGGCTAGCACTAAAATCGGCATCGGTCCGGACTAGTGAGTGAGTTAGAATTGAACGTCACATCGGCAATAGTTCAACCATATCGCGACGAGAAGTTATACATTAATAATACATATCTTTAGTCTTAAAAAAAAAAGTTGTTTTCGATGGACAGTACAACTAGAATATCACAGAGTCGATTTAAAACTAGTTGAAATATGTAAAACAATAAATTATAAGTAAACAATATAAAAACGGACTATAGATCACTAGACACAGAAGGTAGATCACAATACCAGGGACCATGGGGACTTACAGTACTTTTGCTAACTGCATGGACCCCAGCAGGATTTACACCATCACTTCAGGTGTTGGCGATTATTTACAAATTTAGCCGAAATTAAAAAGAGCACGTATTATACGACTAAATTTGTGGCCGAAATACTACTACTTTGAATGACGTGGTCTGACATACCCTCTCCGGGTGACGATCATTTTACACTTCATCAACCCCCACCGAGGGTACACCCACCAGCAATATCAGCTACCAAATTTCTCACTACCAAGGCTAAAAAGATCATATATTAATCATAAAACAGATGGTTAAAAAAATTAACAACTCTATTTCTTAAATAAAACACAAACTAACTGAAAGCCGATATTGTTAACAAGACCCTTTCCCTTCTTGGATGGAACTTATTTATCCCTTGTGATGGACAAATCAACACAGTTAACCGAAACATGACTGTCATTCTTTCATCACAAGGGATACAGAATGGAGGATCCTCATCTTTTAATAAATATTCATGAGTATGTCGTGAATGGCCAATACGACTCTTTTATATGACCTCTTTAAATCTGGACTGACAAAGTAGGTGTAACCGATATTTGGTTTTATTGCATGTAATTTATTTATACCCACTTGGGTGTCCCACTTCTTCTGCATTAGATCTCTGATGTAACAACTTATTAAAGGTTTATAGTCACTGTAGGGGATAAGAAGTGATGTCACAGATTTGTTGAGTGCTGCTTTAGCTGCAGCATCAGCCATTGTGTTACCAACGATTCCAGCATAGCTAGGCAACCAACAAAAGACGATGTTGTATTGACCAGTAGCAAGATTATTATATCATTCAGTGATGTCAAGAAAAAAGCTGGACGCTGATTGTAATTTATATTGCCTGACGACAGGACAGCGAGTCTGAAAAAATAATAAATTCCTTATGTTTAGTCTATTTATAAATTCAAGAGCAATGAAAATAGCATTTGGTTCGGTTGTAAAATGGAAGAGTTATCCGGTGATCTAGTTGATAAGGTTCCGGATCCAATGATATTGGCACTGGCAACAGCGTCACCATCCTGTTTTTTAAAATTTTTTTTATAGAAAACAGTTTTATTTGAAATCAAGTTGGGGACAGGTGATACTTGTACAAATATTTGCCCCCCCCCCCCCCCCCCCGGTCAAAAAAAGTTAACTACGGCCTTGTTAACGGATTATATTCTTGTTGATATTAATGTAAGATCCAACCGTGGCTTAAGCATTTGCCAAGGTGAGGCAGAAAGCAGGTGATATATTTTCAAGTTAAATACAAATTGCAGCGGAAATGAAAGGTTTAATTTTGGTTTCTACGGGTGGAATGACTGACGACTTCGTATTAAAAATTAATTTGAATATAATTTGGTCATGTACATGTATTGTCAAGATGATTTGATACAGTGTTCTTAAGAGAAGGTTTATCAGCCTCAAAGGAAAGGCTGTCAATAGGAGAAGTTCTGAAAGATCAAAGACAGAGTCTTAGACCTTGATGGTGGATAGAATCTATAAGTGATGATGGAGCCATACTCGAGTTTCGAACGGATTAGTGATTTATACAAGTGAAGAAGGCTGGACTGGTTCTCTCCCCACTTCGAATTGGAAACAACTTGGACAAGTACAAGTACGCACGCACGCACGCACGCACGCACACACGTGTGCACGTCGCTATGTAAGGGCAACAACAATCTCGCCTCGGCTGCATAAAGAGTCACCCCCTCCCCCCCCCCTTGCCCCCTCCCCCCTCCCCCCCCCCCCCAATAATAAATAGCCAGTACCTAAATTATGTGCAAATTTATTTTTTAATATTTGCCCTTCCCTCCCTCTCCCCGCCGTAATTGTAATGCAATTTGGCGGACACACCTCTTTCCCTGTGTCATTCTCACTGGTCGGGACCCCCCTCCTCCACTACCACACAAAACACATGAAAACCAAATTATGTTGGAGACAAATCCCCCCTCCCTCAATCAGAACTGTTTTAACCTTAACATGTTGATAAGAAGAAAACATTTGAGATACCCAAACGTAATTTAAACTTGTATTTTACAAGACAGTTTTTATTTCATTTCAGAAGACAACCCTCGTGCTGGAGCGCGCGCGCATAGATCGCATGACACTGATATCTGCCTTACGCCGCGAGTTACGGCAATTTAAAACAATGAACAGTCGGATTATCGGGTCTTTGCATCGCACCTGTGGCGGTCGACATTGTGCTGGGATTAGACTCTTGTGTATCGTGTAATCCACATCGTAGACTGGTACGCTTTACGATCAGGACGTAGACAGGTTATTCCAAGAGTCTATAAACCATTTCTCCCGGTTGATGTATGCTTCCAAGGAATGTTCGTAGCAAGCAGTGAGACCCGTTCCATTACGCAATCTGTATATTAAAACTGTTGAAACTTCCGTTATTTTAACACGACCCTAAAGGGTAGAAAAAAATCGACTACCCGATGTCAACGATAAAATGCCACATAGTCGACATTTTGTATTTTTTCTTAGCATCATACAAATAAAAGTATTTGGAACGTTTCTCTCCAATGTCTGCAAAATGCAGAGAAGTGATGATGTGAGTTACCTCCCCTTGAGTCTTTAGCAGGATTCAAGTCCATACAAACGCGGTCCTTTCTTCAGTACCCGTCAGAGCTCTATTTCTTAACTTGATATATGTACGTAGACATTAAGATGACTTTTTGGAACGGGACCTGATAAATTTGAGCGTTAGTTTATGGGCAAACTATATGGCGAAAGAGCTCCCATCCTGGATCTCATAGCAACACACTTTATATAAATTTAATAGTGTTTGTAGTTTATAGAAATATAAAATAGTATATTAAATTATAACAAGTTGTATAATTATCGTTACGGTAAAATATGTCGAATACTGTTATGCGTTTATACGTGTCGATCGCTGTTCTCAGCGAGCGCCACCGGACGCCCACATTGCGCTATTCATACATAACTAGTCGTAGGTAAACAGTAGTGGGCAGGTACTCGAAGCTCGTGATCTCCAATCAGCCAGCATGATAACTGTCAAGACACCGTTTCCTTGTTGAAGTCAAGACTGCCATGGAATTTACTTCCTTCACTAAAACCAATGGAGCGCCAATTCAGTGATCGTAGTATGTCGAGCGACCCGTCCATTTCGGTCACCGACGTTTACGACCAGGCTGCCGGAATCGCTCAAGAATTTGATAAACTCATAACGACGTACGGAAGTGATGCCGTTACGGATTTGATGCCAAAAGTGATCAAGGCTTTGGAACAATTAGAGACACTCGCAAGTCGTTTTGAGACAGAGAGTGACGAGATAAATGGACTTCGGCTTCTTGTGGATAATTTAAAGGCAGAAAAAGCGGGCAAAGCTCAAGAAAGGGCAAGATTTGAACAGGTAAATATGACGCCAAGATCAAAGGCACCGCCTGACAGTGACAGATGCTGCAGATATACTATATTAACGTTGATAATTATGCATATACAAACAACCTTTGACATGCTGATGTCATAAACTGTCAGATTATCTCGAATAAGGTCACAATTTCTGTATGACGTAACAATCAACACCTTTTGAACAATGTTGACAGCTGGTTAACGTGTTTAAAGGTAAAATATAATATAATAATGACGGCTTCAGAGTTTCCAAACAACCCTATTTCACATTTGCCTACTTGAAGATATTTTAAACCCTATGTTCACAGGTGCGAGCATTGTAATGTATGAACATTAAACAATATCATTAATCAAATGTCTCATGTGATTAAAAAAAACCATGATAAACAGACACGACATGTTAAGAAACAAATTCTGGCATGAAAACTTCAGGTCTTGTAGACTGATAATTTACTTCAACTTCTCTCAGCTAAGTCTTATTTGTTTTGTCCTAACCTTGCTGACATGGCCAGGTTCTAAACGGCCAGGTTCTAAACGGGCAGGAAGTAGTAAAATCTATCTGGTTGTCAAACATGTCCAAGGCACAGACTGATAAATATATTTTTTGAAATGTCTTATTCCTTGTGAAGCGCCTGCTCTTTTTTAATTATGATTATTTTGTTGACAGGTAATTACCCATGCTCAAAGTAGTCATTTCTCAGAAGGTTATTTTGTATTAAGGATCTTAACAGATCACCTGGCTTAATTCTTCTATTTTCTCATAAAGACATTATTTTTGTCATAAGAATCTTTCACTAAGTAGTTTGAAGTAATCTGCAAATTGATAAGAACTATTTGTTATAATTCTCATGGCAGTATTTATAGACATGATAAATTGTTTGAACATTTAATAACTATTAGATATTACAGAGTCTCACCATGAATCATTGCATCTGTACTGGTTCACAATCATTGATTATTTTGAATTCACTAAACAACCCCATCTATTATTACAGACTGGCACTGCATATTGACAGATGGCCTCTAACAAACTGCACAGACTAAACATGCTAAATGATCAATAGTATCCTACACATTCCCAATCTTTGTCTTTGATCACATTGGATCAATAGTCCACTACCAATGTTCATTAACACTTCGAGATGCAGTTCATTATGCATGGCAAATGGGACATTGTGGGCTGGTTTCTGTGGCTGATTGATTGCATGGGATGTCTTGTTGGATAATATTTGTCCACCTTTCATATTTCCCAAATACTTTTGATTGAACATTCGCAAACAGTTTATTCTCAGCATGCTGACTCAAAACAAGTTTACGTCTCTTTGGTAGCTGAGATTCTTTCCATGCAGAACTTGTACACAGGTCTTGTGCACTTTTAGTTTTAGCACAGGATGTGATGAGAGTGCAGAGCTACAGATAAGATTTGCATAAAATACCCCCCAAAAATATTCAAAACCCAATTACTTTCAATTAACTTGCGTACAGAAACACATGCATTAAATGAAAAACTCGAATGTATAAAACAACACGCGTAAATACCCACTGAAGCTTTTCCAGCATTCGTTCAAAGGAGCTAATTTCCAAAACACAATAAAAAGCTAATTTAGTCAAGACTATATCTGTTTATATTTAGAAAGTTATCATGGTTATATAAATCGAAAACATTATTTCATTTGTTTTAAATCTTAAAATGTTCACTAATTTTGGGAAAAACCCAAACCTGATCTTGTGCTTGTAACCATGGTAACGTGTTTAATGTTCTGATAATGATCTATTGGTAAGTTTGGTATATTCCATATTTAAGTCGCTATGTGGCTGAAATAATGCCGATGCGACATTAGATTTTGATTCTCACCCCAGTATTATCACTGATCATTGCCCCTTGATAGTAAATGCTGAAATTCTGTAGAGATTCTTCTTGCTTACTGATTTAATCATTTGGATCTAACATCTGTTCACAATGTCATATTAACATGATTAACCTTCTATCAATGTGACAGGTGTGCACACTGAACTACAGTATTTAAATTTCTGCACCATCAACTTTGATCTTTCTGTAGACATGACAGTATGACAGCAATAGAAATGAACGACAAACAACAGATGATATATGACTGACAGTAGACAATGCCAGCCATAGTGTAGTCAGGTCCTGGCTATTGCTCTCAGTCTCAGATTAGTGCAACTGACATATATCAGCTGATTATACAACTGGGCAAGGTGCATGGACAGCTGACATGCCAGGGAAATCCCTATTGTAGGTCGAGAAGCCAGCAAACCTGAAGGTCAGAATGAAATACCCCAAGCACAAAAATTAAAAGTTAACAATTCTGAAAATGTTTACTTGATCTTTTACCTGCCCTCAATTTAAATTCACTTGGTCAAACTTAAAGATTTTAAGTCTTTGAAAGATCAGGAAGTAGACCTATACATGCAATTTTCAGTGCAGGGCAAGTATTCATTTAGTCTCGTATTTTGTGACTGATTTGATTAACCTTGCAATATAAAGACACCTAAAAAAGTGTCTTGTGTGAGTTTTAAGGTACCCAGCATTCATCACTCTGCAGAATGCTGGATACCTTAAAACTCACACAAGACACTTTTTTAGGTGTCTTACATTGTATACTTTGTGTCTGAACATGTGCCTTCCTTGAATAAAATATAATTAAAATCGTCATAAATGATACCAATCAGATGAGACTGTTGTTTTGTTTGTTAATTAAATTTAAAATATCTGTATTACAGCCAAAAAGCTAAGCTTTTATTTTAGGATTCATGTTTGATTTTGTGTGGACACTGTTAGGATTCAACTTAGATTTTGTTCGGACACTGTTACCATGGTTACTTACATCATGATTGATATACTGAACAAAAACAGTAAGGGATCATGAATATTTTGGGGGATATTTTTATGAATCATGTGCTCAGTCTTCACTACTAAAAATATCCACCAAATATTCATGATCCCAAACATTTTGGGTCAGTTTAAGTTGGACTTAATGTAATATGAGAAACTGTTGGAATATCTGTAAACACTTTTGTGAGTTTATACTGGTTCAAAGGATATCTAGGTTAATATGAGGTAAATAGCTTACAGGCCTTCTCAGCGGTGACACGAGGTGTTACAGCAAACTAGTCCACAGCTCATTTCAGGGCAGTGGTTTCTTTAACATATACATAACATAGATTGTGGGCTGTCATTCCAAGTGTCCTCCAACATTGGAACACTTGCTTGCATCAGACCCTGATTGTTCTGCATCAAAAGTAAGGTGCAGTTCCTTCTGTTCTTGAAAATTGCTCTACAGTATTTTAATCTAGGACCCCCATAAACTTTAACATTAGTAGGTTTATGACCAACATTCCTTGACTCTCTATCAGTTTTGGGGAGGGACATTTTACTGTTTTAATATCAAAAGTGTTGGGAATGGAAAATGGAAAGAAGTTATTTTTTCATTTCTCTGTTTTTGAGAAGTGAGGTGAAATGGGGATCGATCCCATGACCTTCCACTTTCCGGGCTGACTCTCTGCCACTAGACCACGAAGGCGGTCCTGGGTCAATACCAGTAATAAATTACGTTGTCCAACCTGTGCAGGTTACTGTATGTGGGCTTCAGGCAATAACACTGTAACACATTTTTATTATGACAATTTGTACTAAATCAGCTTAAACATCCAAGTTATTAAGCAGTATACTGTCACTGTCATGATAGTCTGTGCTAAGTCCTGCCTCTGTAGTCTAGTCTAGTGTCCGGAGAGAAGGTAGGTGGTTCGAGCCCCAGCCATGTCATACCAAAAGGTGTTAAAATATGGTACATGTTCTTGTCCCTGCCGTACACTCTGCATTTGTAACCCCCCCCCCCCCCCCCCCCCGGCCTAGTGGTAGAGTGTCCGCCCGAAAAGAGCAGCAGGTTGAAACCCCTGTCCGCATCATACCAAAAGACGTTAAAAGATGGTACTTGTTGTTGCTGCCCTGTCTGGTACTCAACATAAAGGGGCTGAAACAAGGACTGGTCGGCTCGGAGTCAGTATAATGTGTCTGAGTGGGGTATTCATGTTAACTGCGGCATGGTATCTCAGTGGGCCAGCACTATAAAATCGGCATCAGTGCAATAATCTTGGATGTGACGTTAAACCCCATTTCACCTCATCTCAAGCTCTTCATTAAAGGGCTAAAACAAGGTGTGGTCGGCTTGGACTCAGTATCTTCTGTCTGGGGTATCCATGTTAAACTGACATGGTATCTCATGAGCACTTAAAACCATCATTATTCTGGACCAGTACCATGCATGTTTAAACATCAATGAAACTAAACTGTTTCCTATGATAATTACTAGGCAATTATCATGATTATACCCTCTTATACACTTCTGGATTGTGTTTTACACACAATAAAATACAGACTGTCATGTAGGTTTTCGGTCTTGGTAGGGTGGTTAATTGATAACCAGTACATACTGATTGGTCTGGAAGTTGGTTAGTGGTTACAAAATGGAAATGACACTTAATAGGGCAAATACGGTAATTATAGTTTAGATTTTTGTTTATTTGCTTGAATAAGATGATACAACTACAAAATGTTAGGTTCACCGACGTTTGAAATAAGTAAGTTAACTACTGCTTGATCACTGACAACAAATATAATTTGTTTAAACAATCGCCCCCTCCTCATTATCAATTCTTTGAGTACCCAGAGCACTTATTATGGTGAATATGGTACATGCATTTTATGTTCTGGTAGTTGTCACAGCAAAATTCTGATAAAGATAACATGGCCTTCCAGGCAGTAACTCCATGTACACAGATAACACAGTGTGTTGCTGTAAACATCATACTAAACTTCCTTGCTGGTCAACAGTGTCACATTTATCTTGTTTATTATTATATTTTCCTTCTATAAACACATGATAAAGGCCAGACCCTTGTTAAAAATTGGTTTACAAATTTGCCGACTTAACAATTGAAATGTGGAAAGAATTGAAAAATTGAAAAGCAGTTCTTTTT